TGGATTATCAATACATAGAGATTTCGTACGAATTTTATAATGATTTTGAAGACTGTCCTACGATTGCACTATGTGGTTTCCCCCTCGGCTTATGCAATATTGATTTTTAATTATTGCTATTTGTTCACGGACATTAATATACTCGTGTTTTCGTTCATCCAAACTGTAACCACAGATCTGCAAAACATGCTTTCATTCTTTTTCCCGTAATATATCGCGGAAATCGATTTGGCAGCAGCATTCATTCCTCACTCTCTTTTCTTTTGGCAAATTTCCATGAGCAACATAGATATAAATAAGATTTAATATGTTATTTTGTTTAACTATATTTCATAATGGAATATTTTAAAATAAATCAATTTATTCTCGACTGATTTGAATGAAAATGTACAGAGTCAATAGAAACAAAATTAGATAAATACAAATAACGCGCAATATATCGACTATGAACATATAGATTTATTACTGTACAATAACAATTAAATGTTATTATCCTTAAGAAATTATATGTGACAAATATATTAAATTTTTAACGAAACAATCAATTTCTCTTTACTTTTATCGAATTTTCGAAACAAAATCTTTTCTTCACTGAATTTTAGCATAATATCCAAATATTATTCGTGCGTTTTATAACACTTGGAGCATCTTTAAGATGTAGAGATATTTTAATATCGTATCGCGTTTTTATCGCTACAAGGTACGACGCTACGGTCGTCGCAATAGACGCGGGCATGAAATTCAATCAAAATCAAAGGGATAAGGTGTATCGGAGCGTGAAAGCAAACGCGCCCAGGTGGCTCTGGTAGATTCCTTGCGGCCGGAAAATGTTTCGCGTCCCGGTGAATCGATCGGGTGGACTTTATTATCGGACGAGAATTTCAGTCAGTTCCCCCCCGAGACGATTCCTAAGGGTTGTTCCTCCTCTTCCTTATCGGTTCCTTATCAGCAGCAACCGTATGTTCATCATATCCGAAGGCCATCATAACATCCTCCCTGAGCGCATGAATCATTATGAGCGTGCAAAATCGCTATCAGTATGGATTTGAGTACCGCTATTATTTTGCCTGTCCTTTAATCGATCCTATGGGAACTCCTATGTAATCTCCTCTGAGGTTTCTTTGCCAAAAGTATCGGAAGCGCTGACGAAATATTTAAAGAGGATGATCCAAAGGCGCGCACCTTCTGTTGGACTAAGGAAGCTTTCACGGAAATCCACACGAGTAATCCTCCATGCAAGTCCAAAGTGAAAAATAGTCAAGATAAAACGAAAGTGTATTCGTAAAAGGATTCTCGAAAGATTATTTCAATGATATTATTTCAATTGAGAAATGCGACATAATATAGCTCAATCTTCTGAACTTATTTTATCACATTCAATATCCTTATATTAGAGGAGAAAGTGGTATTATGGTCAGTGTATATATTGTGGCCTCCCATAATATCTCCGCTATTCTAATAATTACTCTCCTAATGATTACTTATTGAATATTGATAATATTTAGATATAACAACATTATAGATAAATTTACAAGATTAATTAAGCGATAATTTAAGCGATTTATTAACATGTCTTCTTTGTTGAATTATTGTTTCCATGTATTGTGTATATCTGTAAAATATATATATATTGTATGTAATAATCCTTTTAATAATTTGCAAATAATTTCCGTACTGTGAAAACATTGATCCTAGAATATTATGTTTTAATGTGACCCGGGAACACCACGTTTTTTTTCACTATAATCCAATTGACAATTTTAATTACTTTTAATCTATCTTATTTGTCTTGCATAAAATATTTGGCTAATTTATTTTATATCCGTTTTTAATTAAGAAGAGTGTATTTAACACCTTTTTTTTATGTACTTGGCATAAATTTTTTCTTTTTTTAAAAAGTTTTAGGAATTGAATTATTTATTCAATAGCTCACCGTTACACCATCATGTTAATATATCAATACTCGATAGCCAGTATTTATTATAACATATTTCTACTTTCAAGTATTTTCTAGTATTTTTCTGAAGTACATTTTAGCAATTTAATTACACCTACTTTCTTATTTTTCTTAAACTTGGACGTATTATCGCATGAATATGTATTTTTGAGTGTGTATTTGCTATTTAACATTTTATTTGACTGTATATATTTCGATATGCAAATTTAAACAATAATATGGCATTTTGCTAATGTGGCCTTTTATGTGGTACTTCTATGGGTATTGATTACTTACGACCTCTTTTTTGAGGTTTTCATATCAAAATAATTATTTGATAATCGATTGTAGCTCTACTGTTAATTTATAGTTTATATTACATGTACTATTTGTAATACTGAGATTTTTACTGAGCAGCTTGTATGCAGAAATTATGTATATATAATACATTCATTTGCATACTTTTTAAATGTTTTCCTTTTTTGTTAATCTTGTAACTAAATACTTTCTAAATAAAACTAATATTTTAAGGCTATTTTTATGAAAGATCATATTACTATTCACTTTTTTCTTGGAGTCATTATCGCCACGTTTTTATTAATAGTCTCCTAAGTAATAAATATTTCTGAACTTTGAGTTCAGAAGCGATTTAACAACATTTTAACGAATGTAATTGTCGAATTTTAAACTTAAATATTGACAATTAACAAAATTATTGTGTAAAATGTAACTGAGCTGCCATAATACCACCTTCTCCTCTAAGATAACAGGAGTCTATATATATATATAAAGAGATGCGAAATGTTCTAAGAGTATCGTATTAATTATTTATGCACAAAGTCGCAACATTACTCTGTTTTACACGCCGGTGCTGATAAATCTGGCTCTCGCTAATCGCACGGGGTATTATCAATATCTTCCATAGTACCTCACGATAAAGGACGAAGGGACTGACAGAATGATATCTAAGGAATTAGGGAGTCCCTCTCGGCTCATTTACGGTCCAGAACCCTTCGAGGCTGCACGCGTTAGTCACGCACGACGGAGTTCTCTTTAAGGCTTGCGAACGAACGTTGTTTCTACGTACCCAAGCGAGTCCCAAAGCTCTCGGTCAGGGCTTAATGCGCCTAATGGAACCTCCTGAGTGCCGTTACCAATTTTGCCACGACTCTCACGATTTAGCGGCGAGCCAGCCAACCAGGACATTATCAAAATTTATTGGTCGGTCAGCCGTTCGCAAACAGTCGCCGCCACCACCGTCGGAATGTTTTATAATCCCCTTTGTGCGCGCGCACATACTTAATTCATCCGCCAGAAAAACTTTGTTATCGTGCTAAAAACTAGAAAGATATGTCGTGAAAATCCTAAATTCCAAAATATCAATGAAGGCTGCCGATAGGGGATTTCATTACAAATAAATATTAAAATAGAAAAATAATAAAATATATTTTTCAATTAATTTCATAATTAATTCGTATATGATAATTTGTTGAATTATTTAGGTTCCATTAGTACTTCATTATTTTAAACGGAAATATCAAAAAAGTTTTTTTTAGAAAAAGACATTAAAACTACAAACATTTTTAGCAGAATATTTGCATGTTACAACATATTTTAAGAGCTTAAATTCGAGTTTTTAGACATTATTTTTGGTTGGCTTAGTTATAAACTTGTGTGCGCGATCTGTATAATATATTAATTATAATAAATACCCGCACAAACACTCTGAGAATACTCTTATTACACGAATGGATAAATATTGTCCATTATCTCTTTCTTTGATGGTTGAGACCGTGACAAAAATATTTCAGTCGGAAAGATGCAAATACCACTCGATTAATTCTTAGCTACGGAAACATTTCAAGCTGCTCAACATTCTTGTATGACAGCAGGTGGTTAAGTGCGCCTACCGTCCTCTATCAGTGCTCTAATCGGAACTGTTCGACTTCCTGGAGTTCCAGGCGAAGTACCTAATTAGGGACGACCTTCGCCGACGCCTGTACGGCCATTTATCACGCATCTCTTCGCTGCTATTACTCCGCAGCAAAATTCGCGAGAAGTAGATTTCTCAGATACAGCCATTTGAAATTTCTGCTAGTCGTATTATCATGGCTTCTTGAAATTATATCAAAATCGAAAAGAACGAAATAAACAATTTTTCACAGATATGTTTCGTTCTATAAAAGAAAACTTTATCACTTCCTATATATTTTTTATTAAAAATAAAAGATTTCCAAAATATAAATTTCATGTATTTTTTAAATTAAAGTTTTGTAATTTTTAAAATGAATCCTAAATGTCTCCTGTGTGTGCGTGTGTACTTTTTTACAGACATTATATTACATTTTTACACATTATTAATTTAATAAAGGAATTTTCTCGTAATTAAACAATCTGTGATATGGTAGATTATATCAATTAAAGGAGAAAATGAAACTTTTTCTTATCTAACAATGAGATATAAATTGTTAGGACATTATGTATTTATTTCGAACTGTCATTTGTAAAAAGTTAATGACAAAAAATTCTTAGGATGTAATAACAACAACAGCAGCAGTGACAATAATAATCTCAAACAACTGTGTACGCAATAAACATGACGAAGAAAGACGGAAGTTTTGGCTGAAAATTTCATCTCGCGGAAACTTGATCTCGCGGCGGCGAAGCAGAAACTTATTCGACGTGTTACCTTTCGTAATATTAGAATATATCTCGGGAAGTAGGATCATCATTAATTATTCGTGTGCAAAGTCAACGTTGGCCAGAATCGCGCACGTCAGTAATATATCTAGGTCTTGCTAATCGTGCAATATTGCAGCGTCGTCTGCGTATTATTCGTTTCGCGTAAATGTTGCGTGCTCAGGATGTTTCTCAAATCGGTTCTCGTAACAGTTACTGTAAAAATAAGAATAATAATGAACCAGGAAATAGATCGAACTTACCGCATCGTTGTGATTCCAGAAAATGTAGGCGGGTGGTTCTGGACTCTGCAAGACGACGCACGTGAGATTGATGGTGCTACCTCGATTGATGAACAGCTCCGGCGCACCTAAAATCTCGGTCTTTGGCTCTGAAAAGTAAAAATGTGACTTTTTTATACGAATAATTTTTTGTGTTCGATTTATTCTAAACTGTCGCGAGTGTATTTGTGCCGGGAGGGAGGGAGAGCGGAAGAGAGAGAGAGAGAGAGAGAAGACTGCAGGAACTTTTAAGTACGGATGCTGTATAGCTACTATAGATAGCTGTATTGCTACATATCAAAAGGTGACTTATTATCAAGACTATTTTGCTGGCGGAAGAGAACGGTTAGGTGCTGTAATAAGTTATGGTCGTGTAATTAAATATTACATTATACGAGAGTAAGGGGAAGAAATATTTCGTGTTTTTCTCCTTACGTCGCTGTTTCTCTCTTAGTAAACGAGGGCGCGTAACTCTTGCCCGGATTAAATTCACGAATCCGAGTACGGAATTACGTCTACGCTTAGAATCCTTATTTCATGCAAATGTCAGACAGTTATCGTGGAACACTTCTCAGCGATATGTTATGATTTCTCAGTGGTTCAACCGAGCCGCCTTCTTCGCGAGTGTATCGCGGAGGAAGACGCGCGCTCTCTCTCGACTTTCTTCCGCATTAAACTTCAGAATCCGAATACGCGGGATCCGTATCGCACATCTCATGACTTTATGTGCGCTTTATGTAAATAACAGATATTTGTCACGTCGCGCTTCAGGGCGACAGTTTACCATGCCAACGCAGAAGGCAACTTAGCCTCTCGCACGCCGGATTAAATCTAAAGATTTAAAGATGAGATTCCGTCGGAACTCAGAATTTTACGCTTCTTTCATGTAAATGTCTCGACACGTCTTGTTTTTGTGATTCTTCATTCACGCGTTAGTGTATAAAAAGTACAATGACGCTGGCAGGATAAGAGGTGGGCTCTGTCTTTTAACGCAAAATGTCGTAGTACTGAATCTTATTATTCATATCACCACAGGGAATCTAAGTACGTGTTTGCAAAACGAAAAGGCAATATTCATTATCGTCAGCGCACTATAAAAACAAAAAAGCTAATTCTCTGTATCATTTTATCTCGAATATTCCGCGGAAGAGAATTTATCCCACTTACTATAAGCGCGTTTGGATAACAAAGTCTATTTTCTGATAGTTCGTATATTTTGTTTGAAGTAAACACCTTTGCCATTGTGATTTAAAAATTAAATGCGATTTTCAATTTACATTAAAATTTAAAAATAGATATGTAGTTTCTTCAGTGAACCGAAAATATACATTACATGTAGATATATCTTTCAATATTTTCTAGACGTTAAAGTAATATAATCGCAATATACGTATAAGTTTTTGCATATCTGATACGTAGTCCGTTATACGCTATCGGAAAAGATCGCAATAAAGTTGTGTCGCCCATTTTCTGTCGAAGTTCACATTCGAAATTCAAATTTGGGAATCGAAGCGACAAGATTGCTCCGTCATGGCTTAGAACGAGTGACTATCCTTTAACTAGGAAATCACATACACACATACACACGCACATGCACGCACACACACACAAAACGAGAACTATTATGAGAAGTTGAATCAGAGATTCGCATCCGTCGGAAGAATTATGCAGAATTACACGCGGTGATCCCGATAGGCAGGAATTATCCCCGAAAGTCTCCTCTATCGACTGTCTGCTACCCTTTTATATAACGTCCTCCGATAATAGCTCGTCGGGATAAATCGGGCCGAGATTACGCGTACGCGCGCGCATGTCGGGAATTTATTTATAATGCCGAAAAATGTCGATTACATCAATGTACAATATCTAGGTATTTATAGCTCACATTCCGACGAACGAACGAGCAAACGGACGAGCTGTTTTATATCTTTTTGTGATGCCGAAGAGTGATGCGGTTGACCTGGCCTCTGTGCTTGCCTTGGAAAAAGCACTTTGAGGCGCTTCATATATAGAAAGTATCAGGTATCTGTTACTGCAGCGATGAACTTGTTACCGCGTGCGTGTATGTGCACATGAATGTATGCAATGTGTATGCGCGCGTGTACGTATTATGGGAGAGAAATAGAGGAGGAGGGGGGAGGGAGAAATTGATTGATTAATCTTTATTAGCTTCAATAGCTACAATGTGCGATGTAATCTAATATAATGCCTATTTATTAATTATCCAAACCGTCAGACTTAAACATCCCATACATCTACATTGCACTATCCCTCTCCACTCCTCATATGTGACACTAACGCTCTCTTAAAGTTTTTTAATCTTTTTTCCTTTCTTATTTCATTAGGTAAATTGTTGTACGTTTTAAACCCATCATATTACAACATTCTTTGTTCCTCTCTAGCTTTACATCTTTTAATATATATATTTCCCTCTGATCTCTTGTTTGTACTCCTTCCTCTCTTCTTACTTGCTCTATCTCATTTTTTAAATAATCCAGATAATCTCCATTTACCATTTTATGTATCAAAATACAAACATTGTATTCAATTCTTTCCTTAATTGACGTAAATTGCAATGCCTCAAGCATGTCTTCAGTTCTTGTTCTGTAACTGAATCGTAATATATAATAATTCTCATTCTCTTATTTTGTAATTTCTGTAAATACTGCACATTATAATCGTTTAAACTCAGTATATAGACGAGCAATATTCAAACAACGAGCAATTATCGCTTTCTATACAACACACCTCACGTGTCAAATTCATACTAATTCGAGGAAATGTCCCTAATTTCGATCCTATCTTTTTCCCCAGATAATTAATATGTGCTGCGAAATTTAAATTTCTATCTATAATGACACTTAAGTATTTAATTTCACTAACCACTTCTAAATGCTGTATTTCCTAATTTCACTTTTATATTACTTTTCGATACTTTTTTCCTAATACCTCTAACTAGCATAACTTTGGTTTTATTCACATTTAATTTCAGTCTATTAGTTTTCAACCATTCCTCAATTTTTTACATCTGTATATTAAGATTATCATTTATTTCTTGGCTTGTATGGCCTATTGTATATATTAATGCATCATCTGCGAATAATCTAATTTCACAATTGCCACAAACAACTCTCGTCAAGTCATTTATTATTATTATTATAAAGAGAGGGGGAGAGAGAGAGAGAGAGAGAGAGAGAGAGAGAGAGAGAGAGAGGTTAGCTGGTAGATCGATGTGAATATTTTCTAGACAGCCTTCTCGAGGATTGACCGAAATAACCGGCCAGCGTGCTTTACGGCTTTTGTGCAACGGATGATATCCGGGAACGACGGTTAACCACTTCCGAATGGTTAACAGTACCGAGACAGTCCCTCTGTCTTCGTCCTTATCTTTGCGATTTCTCTTTCCTTCACGCTGCGAAACCTTCCGGATTTCTCGCTGCAGTATCCGGATTTTGACTTTAAAACCTTCCGACGTTTATTTTTAAGTCTACGGCACTTCGTTATATCTCACATCTTTGTCGCCTTTCTGTGATTTTCTTGTTCCTTCTATTTTTCATCTCTAAGCTCGTTTATCCAATATATGCTTTATGTTTCCATTTATTTTAAAAAATTCTCAAGTGCTAAAATGCGCAATGATATGATATGATGAACTTAATATTTTCATAATCTTTTTACTCGTATATTTCATTAACCTAAATTATTTTAATTACATATGCATGTTTTAATTTTTTAATTAATTTATATTATTAATTATATTTATCTTTCTGTAATTAACGTAATTACTACATCTATCTTATTAAATTTTTCAACATATCGAAAGAATACTGAATCTTGTAAATCTTTTGTGGTGTGTACCCACAGTCATTTTGTATATGTATATATATTTTGTATATATATTTTCCCAATCTTCCAAATTTTGTTTCCTTGTCAGTGACGTAGTTTATAAGCGGGTTGTGAAAGTGGCGCCTATAAACCGATCGATAGCATGAGTTTATGCGAAACGCTTTAATGTTGGTTAACCATAGCCAAATGAAAGCCGATCTCATCAAATGGTGAACCTCTGAGTCTCGGTCAGATCCTTCAACGAAGAGTTTCCGAAACTCTTGATTCGTCCGCGTACTCATTACGACCTCAGTACTATTTTAAATAAACGCAAAGGGATTAGTAACGTCGGAACATAAACACCGCTATTTCTCTAATCAACCGTAATCTCTAACCATTCGTATTCTTCCAAATAATTCAACGAAAGCATTGACGCGAGAAGATCGTTCGGACATTTCATGTTCTTTAGCAGATTTTAAAATATTTATTGATAAATACAGCGTAAATTATTTAGTCCATAATTAATTTTGACACAATGTCAATCTATATATGTTTGATTGATAGACCCACTTTTTTATTTTTTGAATAGAGACTTGTTAACTTAATCTGATGATGATAATGTAAAAATTATATTTTTCCAGTTAATGATTAAGCACTAAATTGATGGGTTCATAATACGTAACTTACTATTACGAAACCATCAATTTAGATTAATTATAGCTACAAAAACACAATTTTTACTTTGTCAGCAGGTTAAATGAGGTCAAATCTAAACCACAAGTTAACCAGAAAATTAAACTTGGCCATAATAAAAATAAAAATTAATCTTTCTTTGAACAACTAAATGGGATGTCCAATTTTCCAAATCCATATTAAATAATATGTTCACATATTTATCGTAAACAGAAAAATATCTCTAAATTTCAGTGTGCAGAATATTTCACTTCGACAATAACATAATATATAATTTTACGAGAGAAAGAGAGAAAGAAGAGGGAGAGAGAGAAAGGGAGCAAAAGGCGATGTTCCGCGTAACGCTCTCATTTGAAACTTTATTAAAGAAGTTTGTCACGCGATTTTGCGACACGGGTGCTCAGATGAATAAAAGATGTCGATAGAAGACGGGAGTAAAATGTAAACTAGGATAAGTTGGTCGTCTTGAAGCGTCGTTCAAGAAGCATTCGCGAAGAGCATCGTTTCGAGAAATCGATTTTGTCTTTACTTCTCGTGCGACGCATTTCGGAATTGGCTCATTTTGAATCCGAATTAATGTAACAGCATATCATAA